TATATATATATATATATATATATATATACATACACACACATACACACACCATTACAGTAAATATTACATATGTAAACCTTTTAAATTAATAAAAAGTTTTGTCTTCCCCCCTAATCAACAACAGTTAACACTGTTTTGTCTAGTTCTACCCGTTATGCAGATTTTTAAGTACTAAATTAAGGTTAATAGTAAAAAACAGGGGCTTTATTATTAATATTAATAATAATTTCTGAGGTTCATTTTTGAAACTTGGAGCAGCCATAGATTTCATACAACAAAAATGATCTGCAATAAATCACAGAATTGGCAGTTTTGCACCACCTGCTGGTCATCGAGGACACTTCCAGTACCTACTCTCCCTATGCCCATTATTCTGTTCCTTGAAGTTGCAGCACGTTTCACTACTGGCCTGCTGGAGGATATCTGGGGGTCACCGCTGACCAGACATCTCGCTATTAACCGCAAGCCCGATTTAACAAGGTAACTTTGCCTGCAAAAGACGAGTTTTGGACCGTGTGATCACAAAAAAAAAAAAAGGAAACAGAAACATTTAGAAGAACTAATATGGTAATTAAATGCCTTGTACCCTTGCTTTTAAGAAACCAGAACTGGCAAGAAACAGCGTGTATCTTTCGCTCATCTTTTTTTGTGAAGAGCAGAACACAATGTTTATACGGAACATGCGCAAAACTACTGGACGTGTACACAAAACCCTGTCGATTCCGCATGATGATCTGAAACTAAGCTGTATATTTCACATAAAATTAACAACAAATAAAAAACAATGTGACTATAAGTTAGGTAAAATTATGATTCAAGCCCATAAAAAAAATAAATAAAAGAATGAGTGACACCGTCCACCCCCCCCGGGGCCTTCTTTGGCTTGGCTGGCACTGGCCCCCGCTAGGCTGGGGTCCTCCTCTCTGCTGACGCCCCAAGGCTCTCATCTTTCTCCTCCTGTGGCTCAGAGTGAAGTCTCCGCATCTACCGTCTTCTCTCTGGTCTCATCCTCAATGTTGATCTTCACAGGCATCTTCTCCTGACTAGGAGCAAGAGCCACAGTACTGTCACATGACCCTGTGCACTGCGTGTGTGTGTGTGTGTGTGTGTGCGCGCATGTTTGGTAATATTAGTATTGATGATAATTTGAAAAATGCTGCTCTGTTATGTTAATGTCAAAGACAGACAATGTATATACATACAAAATACAGGACAAACATATATAAATTCACGGCCTCTTAGTCTATGTACCAACCAGGTGAGGTGATAAAAAATGCAATGCAAAACATTCCCAGTTTCATTGCGTAAGCATTGTGTCAGAAAAATGCACACGCCTTGTCATTTAATTGTGACTCAAACCTCGCTATAATTAAAATTCTCTCCGTCAAGCATGATTGTGACACTGTATTAATCACCCAGCCCTAGTTTAAATCACCATGCTTCCTGTCATATTTCATCTTGACACATCCATCATCTGCATGCGTGAATCGCATTCCTAAGAAATCACACGTCATGCATCATGCCTCGCTGGCACCGCAGGGGGCGCCGCATGGCGATGGAGGTGCTGGTCCTGTGCATGGCAGCCATGCAGAGCTGAGCAGGGACCTGCTGTAGCATAGCTGTCACACAAAGTCACTGCTTAGCTATACTGAACTCCATGACCACTAAAGTTTTCCTTTTTGCTGACCAATAGGAAAGATCCTTAGTAAAAGCCCCACCTCTTCCCCATCCACAACCTCTTCATCAGCTTCAGGATAGGAGTGCCTGGGTCTGTCTCGGATAGGCTAAAGGTACCGCCTGTTTGTCAACTCATACTTACATTCCAATCAAATGTTTGCAGTCAAAGTCAGTAGTGGGTGGGGCTAAGTGAAATGGGTGGGGCTATATGACATGGGTGGGGCCAGTCACTGTGTGTGAGTTTGTTTATGGAAAGGACAGCGAGTAAAAACAGAGATATAACTACCTTGCACTAGGCTTCAGACCTTTGGCACTGTCAGTCGAAAAGGAAACAGCTCTCCACACGCCGCTTTTGGCCATTTCGTCAGAAATGTTTACGACGGAAGGATCAGAGCTGAGTGGGAGACAGACCAGACCACCTTCAGCCAGGCATGCGAGCGGGAACACACTGGGACCAGTCTCCCCAGTAAGCACGCGAACCCAGCTCAAACACACAACATCAAAATGCTAGAGGAAACATTGCCTTTAAGATGGCACCCAATATTCTCCAGGTATTGCAAATGCAATGAAGTTCTCCAATGACACGCAAACTAATAAAACTGGCAAATATCTCCAGCACTGTAAAAGAACATGTAAGAAAGACAGAGACACAGCGCCCCAGGGACACCTGCCATAACATTAGTGCCACGTTATTTGCATCTAGTTTCCTGTGACCTCATAAGCCGATTATTTAATTAATGGGGGGGGAGGGTGCTTAGCTGTATTACTGAAGCTCTGAAAGAAGCTGAATGGAGTCAGCATCCAGCCCCGAACTGACAGCCTCCAGGGCAGGAATGTAGGTGCACAAATAGTCAGGCACGAACATGCACAGACACAGACACTGACACAGCCAGAGACGCACGTGCACAGACGCACACACAGACAGTCAGACAAGTGCACACACAGGCACTCGCATGCACAGACACGCACATCCACAGACACGCACACCCACAGACACGCACATCCACAGACACGCACACCCACGGGCACTCGCATGCACAGACACGCACACCCACGAGCACTCGCATGCACAGCCACGAACAGGCACTGGCATGCACAGACACGCACATCCACAGACACGCACACCCACGAGCACTCGCATGCACAGCCACGAACAGGCACTCGCATGCACAGACATGCACGTGCACAAACACACACAAAAACAGGACGGGGCCTTCTTAATAATAATGCTATTCTCCGCCCCATGCAAGCGTTGTGATGGTAAGATTAAAAACCATCAAAAGTTAATCATTAAGGAAAGACGTAAAAAAATCCCACAAGGTGTAGAAGTGTGAAAGGCGCAGGCCGAGGGCAAAGCGTGACACCAACCCCTGCGGTGGCCTCGTCCTGGGATGACGTGTCGGATACTACGGGCTCCGATCTGTGCCGAGAAACACGACAGGGGTTCAAGGGGCCGCCAAAACCACCACGACGTTCCTGCAGCTGCCCTGCGCGCTGGAGAGCGCCACCTAGCGTCAAGCGAGACTCCCTGTCATGGCGCCTTAATGGCGTTAAGCCGACCTGTGGTTGGGATTGTTACCGCTGGCGACAAGGCACGGTGACAGGCAGGAGTCCCGACGCTGAAGAAACAGTGCAGGAACGAAATGAAACGAAAGAGGGCGAACAACAGGGGGTGCCAGCGACCTCCCTCACCTGTCTTTGAGAGATTTGGCTGGGAGCTTAAGCACATCCTGCTCCCCGAAGCGGATTCTGGCTGAGTCGAGCTCGTCTGTTTCCAGCATGGGCTCCGACTCCTGTTACCACGGCGACATCAGCATGAGAATGCTATTCATTGTTATGTGCAGATATTGTTCTCATCTGTGTGCTCATGTCTAAAAATACAGCGATACTGAAGGGCGACTGTACCTCCTCCTCTTCCTCCTCCTCCTTCTTCTTCTTCTTCTTGTCGTCCTCCTTCTTCTTCTTGTTCTCGGGCATGAGGTCGTCCAGCCAGCTGAGGTCCCGCTTGCTGAAGCAGGTGAAGTCCAAGAGCTTCCGGACAAACACCAGCGCAAGCACCTGGAGAACCGAGAGGTCTGCCGTGAGACGGAGGAGAGGCCCCCACCCGTCATCTCTGCGAGAACACGAGGATCGGGAGGCGTCGAGGTGGCCAGGCCAGACGTCACGCACCATCATGGGGAAGACGACGGCGGCCGAAGACACCTTGATGACCCAGAGCAGAATGAGGCAGGTGAGCTGGATGATGGTGAAGAGGTGCACCTTCCATAACGGCACGTAGCGTAGGTAGATCAGGTCGGGCTGGTGCTTCGCCGGCATGCCGAACAGTTTTATCCGGTCGAAAAACTGTGGAAATGGGATCCATCATGAAAGGATGAGATAAGCAAGACTGTCTAACAGGAACGTATCAGCAAGCAGAAGATATCGTGTTCTATGAAATGTTTATCATCCAACTGTGAAAATCTGAAATTCTCAAATTTTATAAAATGCAACTATAACTCAGCCATGAGCATGTTCTGACAGCGTATGAAATACAGCCACACGTAACCAGGGACTGTCCTCGGGACAAAACCCACAGCCCTTACAGTCCCTTACAGGCCTCAGATGCTTAACATCTCATGGATGGAACTTCCAAGCGGCAATTCAATGACTAACAGCAGCAAGGAGGACACGGAGTGTGTCTGTGTTAATGTGTAAACGTGTGATCCTGTGTGTGTCAATGTGGTCCAGGTATACATTACATTTTAGGGACCAAATGTCCCCACAATGTGACAAAAAAACCCTGTTATTTTGACGTTGGCGGACCATTGTTTTCGGGCCCCACAAAGGGTAATTCAATTTAATAAATATCTGAGACTGCAATAAAAAACCATATAAATACAAAAGGATTTGTATTTTGTTTGGTTACTTATGGTTATGGTTAAGGCTGGTCAGGGGTTAAGGCTGTTATTGTTGGGATTAGGGGTTTTGTCCACAGAAATGAATGGACGGTCCCCACAGAGATATGAGTACAGGTCTGTGTGTACACATGTGTGTCTGTGTGTGTGTGTGTGATGTGTGTGTCCACACATTCATCACCAATCAAACAGTTGACTGCTTCTGGTCATTCCTTACCTGGATACCCTTCAGCGATGACACCCCCATATACAGAAAGACCCCATAGAGAACAGGCATAGGGATAAACTGTAAATAAGAAGGGAAAAAGAGTCTCATGATTTTTTCCCGATTCCTTAACTTGCCCCTCAACACACCGGCACTGAAGTACATCACTGCACCTACGAACTGAGACACCTCACTTGATTGGCTTTTCTCCCCACCCTGAGCTCTTGTCAAGCCAATCGCCCAAAGGGCAGAGCCCTCACCTTGAGCACAGAGGTCATGAAGACTGACAGGCCCATGAGGAAGAAGATCATGAAGCCGGTGACCCTCTGCTCGCGGATGCCCAGGAACTTGGGCTGCTCCCCGGGGGCCGAGCAGCCCGATTCCAGCTTCAGGCTGTTGACGTGCGAGATGGAGAGCACGGTGGCGGCCACGAACCACGGCAGGCCCATGATGGAGCACACGCCCAGCATCACTGCCACCACCAGCAGATCCAGGTGATACCCGCAGCCCTTCTGTTTGGGGCGAACAGGGATGAGGAGAATCTGAGGTCTACAATCCATGGCGACCCATCAAACAATCACCACGAGGGGGGTCAACAAGTGCAGACCCTGAGATGCCAGACAGGAACGGACTCCCAACCTTGAGCCGGTGCTCCTTCCGGTTGATTATGACTGCCGTGATCTGCTGGTCCATGAAGATGAGGATGGTGCAGAGCAGGGCCGGGATGGAAGCCGCCAGCAGCGTCCACCACGGGTTGTCCCCCAGCGGGGAGATGAGCCAGCCTCGGTTGCTGGAGGTGGGCTGCAGGGAGAGTTGATCTCAATTGACCAAAACACAAGCCTGACTAACCTATGCACATTCATGCTTATTTGGTCTAGTTGAGTAATCTGTTGGGTCTAGTCTGCAAGCCCCCTAGCCTACCTCAAATCGGTCGGGGACACGCAGCTTGGGAGAAGGGATGCCCACAAGGTAGTCAAGCAGGACCATTATCATGATGGTGATGAACACTGCAAAGTCACTGATGGTGGAGCGAACCTGTGGGTCACATGACCAATCATGTGATGTTGGTGAGTCAACAGTACTGTTCAGCTACATAGTGCTTACGGAGTCACTAATAAGGCATGCACTTTAGTGCAAAAGGGTGAGCGTGAATGGGTGCACGAGCTGCCGGCCTCACCCTTGTGGGGAAGTAGCGCTTGGTCTTGAACTGCTTGAGGAAGGCGGAGAGGAAGAACGTGGTAAAGAAGAGGATGACAGACCAGAAGAGCACATCTGGGATGTAGGGTCCATGGTGTCCACAGGCCAGGCCGACAAACACGCCGTCAAACTCCTTACATGTCTGTGTGTGTGGGGACAAACATGCTTGGTCATATCCATGCATACATCCATCCCTCCATCCATTTTCTGTAACCGCTTTTCCTGTTCAGGGTCACACAGGGTCCAGAGCCTATCCTAGGAGCTAAAAGAGCTAAAACAACCCAGGATGGGGCACCAACCCATCCCAGGGCACCCACACAACATTCACACAACATTCATATCCATGAGGAATTTGGTAACTTGTTTTGGACTGTGGGGGGAAACTGGGAATCCCGGAGGAAACCCCATGACGACACGGGGAAAACACGCAATGTCCACACAGACAGAGCCAAGGCGGAGATCCCAGAGGTGTGAGGCAGCAGCGCTAACCACCATGCCGCCCCTGTCTGGTCATATTTAATTAGCCAAATTCTTTCAAGACTAATCTTGTAACACTTGGCTATCTGACAGCCATCAAACTGTGATGCGTTGCCACAGTAACTGCTGGACAGTCCCACCCCCTGGCCCCAGCATGGCCTCACTGGTTCAGAGTCACCAGGGACACCCGCCAGCGTCTGACACTCCACTGCGCTCTGAAACAGACGCCAGTGGCCTGACGTGCAGCATCAGGTCCAGGCGGCTGATCGGCAGGAATGTCTGTGCTAAATGAATTCTGTCACGCACCCGAACAAAAGCGGGTGAGACAAGGAGTCTATTGTCAGAGCCCTTTCTCGCTCAGTGTCACAGATAATGGGAGGCAGGTAGAAATGCAGGGTGTCACTGATCTGGTCCAGCCAGTGATTTAAGAAAACTGCACTAATCATTCTGGTTAAGCTTTTTACACCTGGCCACCCCCACTGATAAATGTTCATGATGGCAGAGCACAAGCCAAGTCTCTGAAGCAGAGTGCAGCCCCAAATATGCTACTACTGCTCCCACAGCCCAGGTTTGTTCTAAACTCTATTCATTTCATTCTTCCAGCTGTACATCTAACAGTTTAGGGTTAACACAGTACCTGTGTGAAATAAAACCAGTTATCTGTTGTGATTACTGTTCACTGGCAAGGCTCCTGGTTTGCTTGGTAAATGTGTGGTTTGCAGCAGTGCGCCGGACTTCTCTCCTCCACCAGGGGGTGCTATTAACGCGATGATTTATGCACAGATTTAAGCTGAACGCGAGTCACAGTGACACAATTAGGAAAAGTCAATCAGGGTGACACATAGATGGTCACAGCTGTCAGAAAACCCACACACACACACTTGCTGACAGTCACTCACTGTCACGTCCAGATCGCTCCAGGGAACGGATTCTGTCGTGAAGCCAGACTGATTCCAGCGCTGCACAGCCTCAGCAGTGGCATTGACAGGTGGAGAACACGTGCACCTGGGGGTGAGCCAAGAGGGGAGAAGGTGTGTGTGCGGGTTCACCATACCACACAGTCCAGCTTCCTCTGGATGGGCGCGTTGCCATGGCGACTCACGTGTAGAAGGTCAGGTTGTCCAGGTGGCTGTGCATGTTGACGGGGTAGATCTCACCCAGCTGGAAGAGCTTCTCCAGCGCCTCGTAGATGAAGATGATGCAGATGAGAGCGGCGAAGGCTTCCTCCGTGAAGCGGGTGATGTAGCAGACCAGCGAGCTGGCGTCCGTGGCAACCAGAAGCAGGCACAGGAAGGCCGTCCACAGGCCTATGCTGGTGCGCAGGGGCAGGTAGGAGAGGCCGTAGTCCCTGTGCGGAGAGGGGGAAGAGGGAGATGAGGCAGGGGATGGAGGTGAGGGCACTAGAGAGAGACAGACACAGAGAGTGGAGGGAGAGATGCCAGTTGATGCTACACGTCTTCATTAGAATGACTGGGACCAGCGATCTGGTCCATCTGGATCAGTCGCAGTGTAGAAGCTCAGTCACATACACACAGTGCTAAAAAGGGCAGAGAACAACATGCCAGCCAGACTGACCAAAGGCGTAAGCTGAACCCAAACACTCCTGCCAAACACCTCCTCCTCCCTCCAGCGGAAAGTGCTCCATGCTGCTTCAAAGCGTGAAACTCTGCAAACCCCTCACTCCTATACCCAACCATATTGAAAACTGACAATCTGCAAGTGTACGCAGCGATCTGGGGCATCGCCCTGTTCTGGTAAGCGCGTCCAGTCTGTGCGCCTCCTTCGCAGAGTTTGTGAGGAGCCGCAGCTGTTACACAAAGCGGCCAGGAGAGGGTGCTGTGTTAAAACAAACCAGACGGCTGGCACTTGAGCAGTCTGTTCCGAGTCGTTTCGGGGAGCTGGGGTCCAGATGCAGATGGGGCGCTTCCCTGCCGCATTATCAGACACACCTGCAAACACAAGCTGAGGCAAACCGGCCCATTCTGGGAGGGCAGACCGGCTCTTACTTGCAGAACTTGAAGAGGATCTTCTCAAAGACCAGGACGGGCCCAGTGCTGCCCAGGATAGTGAGAGGCTGTCCCGCAAACAGGGAGTAGGCGACACCTGTCAGAGAGGCGCCAAACAGGGACTCGATGGCACTCTGTCAAAGGGGGGGGGGGACAGCAGGGAAGAGTGGGTTTTAGCCAGGGTAACTGTATCTCTGCAGAGCCTCCATTGCAGAGCCTCCATTCCTAAGAAAAAGCGACTATTTCTTAGTGACCAAAAACCTGACCGTGTTATGTGTCTGGCTTGGCACTGTTGTTTCTGTACTCACGATGTTGCCCTTGGTGGCCTCGCCCAGCAGGCCGCCGAAGGTGATGACGGGCGACATGCAAGCGCAGTAGAGGAAGAGGATGGAGGCCAAGCACTGGAGGCTCAGCGCATCGCGCAGGTCGCTCCAATAGAAGGGGGTCTTTCGCTTCACATCCCTCACCAGGCCGCCGAAGACCCTGTGGAAGGAGGGGCCTCCGTCATCCAAGCGGACCGCGCCGACCACCGCCACCCAGGCTAACCGCGTCGACTACCTAGGCTAACCGCGCCGACCACCGCCACCCAGGCTAACCGCGTCGACTACCTAGGCTAACCGCGCCGACCACCGCCACCCAGGCTAACCGCGCCGACCACCCAGGCTAACCATGCCGACCAGCATCAACCAGTCTGCCCGCACTGACCACTGTGATCCACACTGACCGCTCTCATGCTTTCATTCTTTGGGCCACGTGTACATCCGCTCTTACCGGGGGGGGTCCCGCTGCAGCCCATTCCTATCAGCAGGTAGCTGGAGTACCGGGAGGTCAACCCCACATCAAAGCCTGTACCGGCCCTCAGCTCAGACTCTCGGCTCTGAGGATTTGCTGTATTATCGGTTATTTTCTGTCACTAAATCTGCCCCCCCCCCCTTTCCTAATGCTGCTTTCATTAGGCCGCTGCTTTGGTCGCAGTGGGTGGCTAATTTTAGCCTCATAAAAAGGTACTTAGTGGGGAATCAGGCTGCAGCGGTAATTTCTCCATGGTGTTTGCCAGGCTGCAGGGCGACTTCAGCTGAAAGACCTCCCTGTTCCTTAAACGTTAAACGTCCCCCTGCCCTTCCATGTACGTCTCTACATTTGACGCACACTGTCTGCGCTGGCTGCTCGGCATGACACCACTGGCTCCCTGTGTGAATGGACCACGGTAGCCGTGGCAACTGTGGTAACCGCAGCAACTGTGCTATACTGCTGCCCATCCAGCCTCACCGTCCTGTCCGCTGGAGCTCCGGCCCTGTATGATGCTCCACCTCCTTCTCTGCCTCCGAGGCCCCCACCAAGCCATTCGGCAGGGGGGGCATCTTCCTCTTCTCCTGATGGGGGGGGCACAAGAGTTTGGGTGTCTTATTAGCACTCAGTGCAGCTCAGGTACTGACAGCCAAACACTGCTAGGCCCCCAAAACACAGACCCTCTGACAAGCACTAAACCCCACTGAGATATACCCTGATCCCCCCTCCCCCACTCCTACAGACTTTTAAACACTTTGTTCTCCTGTAGTTCTTAATGCTGGAAGTTGAGGGTAGATAGCAAACGCTTCTCTAAAAGTGCAGACCAATCTCACACCAGCCCTTCTGTCCTTCACCTTCATCCTTGCCCAAATTTACTAGATTCCAAAAGTCTACTGCCTTCCATTTCCTTCCAAGAAGCAGATGGCAGCTAATGTACCCACCCTTCATTAACGCCCCTGCCAATCGGGGGGGGGAGGCCAAATGGTGAATAAAATGGTGACGCACACTCTGTTCACCCAAAAGCACAGGAACCCGACCACATTCATGTGTTCCCTCCTCTGAAGTGGCCAGTGACTGATGTGTTGCTGTTGTAGGGCGGTCATCAACATCAATGGAAACCCCCACAAAGGTGCTGAAAAACAAGATGGCCGTGTACCTGAGACGGGACGTTCTTCGGGGGCTCGATCCGTATCTTGGGGTCCCATTCCCCAGGCGGTAACACGGTTACCTGGTCTAGGAACTCGTCGATGCCGGACAGGAGGTCATTCCGGTCTTTGGCCTTGTACGCGACGTCGTGGAAAATCTGAGGCAGGGTTTATGGAAAGCGAACATCACAACATACTTCACCACATTTTAATCTCAAACAGAAAAACTACGAGTCATGCACGATGAGCCTTTTTAAGAACATTGGGCCTTTCTAAGAATTGCTTAGGGACACACGATGTTTTAGATTAAGACATTCCTGCCGTGTGACGCACCTCATCTGTCATCAGCGTGGCGATAGACCTCCCGATTTCATGGTACTGAGACCCTTTGCCAAATGGGCCGAGAAGCAGGAAGAGGAACCTGTAGGACGGAGCACACTGGCGTCAGGGCGAAGCGTGTGAAGGCCCCGGCCGCCTTACAGAAAACAGTTCTACCACATTCCCGGCTCCTTAGAACACGACAACACAGTTGCCAGCTGCTACTGGTCCAATTATGAAACTAGTGCCCTGGAACACGGAACCACTTCCTGTTTCTCTGCCTCTCTGAATGAAGGCATCAGACATGTGAACTGGTTAGACAGAGATGGTTTTATCGTGACCAAAGGCAGGGGCAGAGGCGGGCAGCACCTGGTGGGCACGGGCACCTCCGTCAGGCCCGTGAGGAGAATGGCGGGGGCCAGGCGGATGAAGGCGATGATGGGCCTCTCCAGGAAGTCCACCTCGCCCACCAGCACATTGGAGGCCTCGGCGCCTGGTGGGATCTTCCTCATGAAGTTCATGTCCACCTGGGTGAACAGCCTGGAGGTCAGAGATTCAAATGGAGATGGGGGGGGGGTAGATATGCACTGGACTCCTGTCCTTCAGCTTGGGAGCCACAAGGAGGGTGGGGCTCTGCGGTGAAGCACGTGCGAGGACATCAAAAGCGAGCAGAACAACATTCCAAACATGGCACCTCGACAAACACACTCCACGCGACACGCAAAGGTGTGCCACTGGACAGCTCACACACCAATAAGGGTGCAAAAACACCCCAGGGGATGAAATTAACAGTCTCTGCCTCCCTGGGGCACGCCACTGACCTCATTCATTCGACTCGCAGTCACTGCCTCGGAATGCAGCACAGTATAGTCTCCTGCACTACCATTCCATCACCAGAGATACAGAGTCACGTCCACGGCTAAACGGAAGCCACACCGGAACTCGGGGTCACGCTCACAGTCACAGACAGAGGGCACTACCACGTCACAAGAAACGATCAGAATGGGCACAATCACGATGTCACAGTCGCCCCAAGTGACAAAACTTACGGCTGCTTTCCTGGGGCTCCCTCCATTAGAGCCACAACTACAGTGAAAGGAGGGGTGGCAGTCCTGGGTGACCGAGGCGGGGCGAGACAGACAGAAACAGGGTCTCACAGCGCCTCACTGCCACAGTCAGTCAGTTTTTATATAACCTAAAGGTCACTGGAATCACCAAACATTTTGTACAAGAGGCAAGAAAAACAGGAACAATCCAATAGATATGATGACGGGAAACATGGCCAAAGGCCATTCGCTCAAGGCCGCCCCCAGCAGGCTGTCAGGGATTCTTAACCCTCACTGCACCAGCATGGCAGGGTTCCACTCCATTTTAGAGGCTGAATGACCTCCAGAGGTATGTTTGAGGCCTCTGGCATGTATAAGGACCTGATGGAGCAACTGCAAATTCACAAGTGTGTTACAGAACTGACCCCTGAGGTCGGCCTAGTTTTGCATCCCGCAGGGTGAGAGCGGGCACTGAAATTTTGTTCTGGAATCCTTCCAGAAATGTCCGGAAGAACAGAGGCAGACGTTGCTGAAAACGTTTACCTTGCTGAAGTCCACGGTGCTGTTCTCCCGACTGCCACTGATGATCCGACACTCGCTGAGTTTGCTGTTCTCTAGGCTTCCTGGAGCCGACTGTGGAGACGCCAGGAGACCTGGGGGGATTGGTGGGGGGGAGACCAGTTAGGGCCAGAAGTTAAAGGCAGCCAAGAAAAATCCATGCATCGTGTGGCAAGACAGGCCAATCAAGCCCCTACTGGGTAACAGTGGGCAGTGAGGCCATCACGGGGCTATACCGGGCAGTGAGTACATAACGGGGCAATACCAGGCAGTGAGCCCATCATGGGGCAATACAGGGCAGTTAGGCCACCATGGGGCAATACCAGGCAGTGAGGCCACCACGGGGCAGTACAGGGAGGTGAGAAGACCACGAGGCAATACAAGCCAATCAGACGCTGACGTAGCAATACAGGGCAATGAGGGCACCGTGTGACAGTCCAGGGCAATTAGGCCATCACAGGGCTATAAAGGGCAATGAGGCCACCATGGGACAATACAAGACAGTGAGGGCACCATGGGGCATTTTAGGGCAACCAATCAGGCCACTATTCTGTGTAGTTCCTGCTCCAATACTGCTCATACCTGTACCCAGGTTTTCACTGCCTAGCTGGTTTCCCGACAGCCGTATATCGTTAATGTGCTAAGTACCTCACTTGTATGGTGTCTGATAAATAAAAATACATTTAAATGTAAATAAAAACCAAAAACATTGCCACAATGTCAACCTGTAATCAAAGTTGCTTCTTCTACCCTAATAATCAGGTTCATCTTCTTTAACATGAATTAAAGCATAACAGTCTCATTAAACTTTTGCTCTTTTTTGCTCGACAAGAAGGAAACTGCCACCCAATCCAAACACTGTCACTCGAGCTACAGCCAATCCTGACATTCTCATTCGAGCCACAGCCAATCCCAACTGTTCTCTCAATCCCATCTGTTTAAACCAAAAGATCACGAGGGATCCCAACCTAAGATGCTTAATACAGCAAGTACGGCTACCAAAAATATGACCATATTCTTTGCAAACACATCTTTCCTTTAACTGGCAATAATCTCTCTCCAAATACATTACATGACACTTCAGAAGGACCCCAACAGAATACATGGACAGCCCCAAGCGACTTAAATTTCGGTATAATCTTGTGTGAGCAAGAGCGGAGATGATCCCCTGCCCCCCATCCCTCTATACAAGCTGGAAATAACGCAGAAATTACTTTCTTCCGTTCTGACTAAGCTGTTAATCCACCAAGCAAACAAAAAGGAGGATGATTAGCAATAATGAAGACATGGCGCCCACTTGAGCGGGATCGAGTGGCTGGTGGGGGATGGCGGGCTGGCAGCAGGCGAGTGACAGAACGATGCGAGGTGACAGATCGGTGTGCGACTCGCCTGCGGAGAGACCCCACCCCCTCGCAGCCGTGCATGGGGAGCACCTGTCACTATGCGTCCTGGACCGGGCGGGGTCCTTCTCAGAGCATCGGGTACACCAGTGCCATGAAACGTGGCCAGCTGCTCTGGCATCAGGGCGTCGGCGTCAGACCTGGTACCTCAGCCGAGAGACCTGCTGAAGCTCACAGTGAAGGACCGAGGACCACCAGGGAACAACACCGAGCCGCACAGGAACTGCGGGGAACAACACCGAGCCGCACAGGAACTGCGGGGAACAACACCGAGCCGCACAGGAACTCCGGGTAACAACTCCGAGCCGCACAGGAACTCCGGGGAACAACTCCGAGCCGCACAGGAACTCCGGGGAACAACACCGAGCCGCACAGGAACTCCGGGGAACAACACGGAGCCGCACAGGACCACCGGGGAACAACACCGTGCCGCACAGGACCACCAGGGAACAACACCGAGCCGAACTTTTCTAGCAGAACGATCCACACCACCATGGATCTACAACGATCCACACCATACTTAGGACTCCCATTTACCAAGATGTTACTGTAATTTAGCATGATTTGGTTGTTTCCCAGGATGGGACACCTATGAAGAAGTGGCCATGACAGTCACCAAGACGCCTCGGAGCCCAGCTACATGGGGCGAGGACGCAGGGCGGTCCCCGCAGGTCTGGAAAGCCACTCCAGGCAGGGGGAGGACAAGGGCAGGAACACAGCAAAGGGGGGGCAGTGTGCAGGCGTGCGAGAGTGAGAGGCGGCAGGCCAACCTTTGTACACACACACACACACACACACACACGCTCGCATGGAGGCTCACTGTGACACATGCACAGATATTAGCATCGCATAGACGCATATAGGCTCATGATGAGCTGGTGGCCCTGGCACTACAGTGCCCCCCCCCCCGGCAGGCTTACTCCAGCAGGCACCACACCATGCGCCCCCCCCCCCACCCCTGTATTTGCCTTCTGGTGATGGGGGCAGCAGGGATACACGGCGAATGTCCTGTGGGGGCTTCTCCTCCGAAGGGGGGTGCTCTTTGTCTTCCTCAGGGGGGAAAACGACCACCTCGGGGATGCTTCCCCAGCTGGGGCGGGGCTCCGGGGGCTCCAAGCGGGACCGAGGCGGGGGCAGGAGGCGCTTTGGGGGGCAGGGGCTACTTTGGGGGGATGGGATGGGGGTGGAGCTGGGGGAGGGAAGGATTATGGAAGAAGCTCGGCGCAGCAGGGAAAGACGAGAGGCGGAGAGGCCCTCCCCTGCAAGGAGAAGAAAAGAGGGAGAGCAGAGGAAGCAGGGGGGAGAAGAGGAGGAAGGAGGAGAAAGAGAAACCAGGATGGAGAAAACTGACTGTGCTTGGAAGGGAACACCACATCAGAGAGGAGCAAGCAGTGCACAGGAGGTGGAGCAGGCAGTGCAGGGGAGGCGGAGCAAGCAGTGCAAGTGGTCACATGGCACAAAAACCAGCCAATGGGCTTGCATGGGCAAAGAGACCACCAATCACATGTGAGAAAATGCAGGCAAGGATGCATGGGGGAGGGGTGGAGGTTTGAGTGACTCAGAATCTTGGGAACAATTATGTCCATTTGAAGGTTACATTCCTCACAGCAACGGCAGCATAGAGCACGTGTCAAACACGCCAGGCACATGCTAAGCTCACACCTTACAGCAGGATTTAGAACTTGTATAACAGGACTTAGTGTCCGCCTACTGCTCACATCAGGCACAGGGTTATAGACGCTGTCAGTGGCTTTGCCCAAGATTCAGGTCCCAGCGTCTATTATTGATTAAAAGTTTTGCTCAAATATGAACAGGACCTTCTCAGTCGGTCACCGACCTTCCAAACTTCAGAAGTGACACGTTATCATGCCGTGACTTTCAGACCAACTCTGAGCTCCCGTTCTCCGTATTTACAATGCAAATACACCCGGTGCCGTTTCTGCGCCGGGGAGTGCCACAGAGAGGCGGCGGCGTCATCGAGACGCAGGAACCGAGAAAGGAATTCCCCAGCAGTCAATCACCAGCCAACTCAGCCAATCAGCCAGTCGTGCTGCTGTTTACCCCGCCTCTCCAAAAACAAGCTTAAAATCGGCATCTGCGAAAAACAAGTTCGCAAGCCGAGTGATACACACCCCAATTTTTAATCCTTGTTCCCCGAGGCGGGCGTTTTGTGGAACAGAGGAGAGCAGGGAGGGGCATTAACTCCCACCAGCCCCTCTGTCGCAGGTTTACAGCATTAATGCCCACGGGGGGGCCCAAACTCCGCAGTTAGATGTGAGGTGTAAGCAGGACAGCCAGGACTCTCACCGTTGCGCTCGAGCAAATGCGGGTCGGAGTGTTTCTTGCCTATGTCGGCGATGGAGCGCACCAGCGGGATGCGATTGCTCAGCTTCTTCTCACTCTGGTGGTGATGTCGCTTTAGCATGGCTTCCCGTACCTTCACACGCAGCCCCTCGTCCAGCTGCGCAGACGCCACCATGCTGTCGATCACCATTTCTGCGGGGAAAGCGTGTCAGCGTGGGGGGCGGGGGTGGGGGCAGGGCGGGGCAGGGCGGCCAGGGTACCTGCGATCTCCTCAATGGTGTTTGCCCGCATGTCGAGCATGACGGTGCCGTTGAGGATGCAGCTGCGCAGCTCGAACAGGCTGTGCAGTGACAGCGTGGCCACGTAGGGCTTGCTCCAGCGCTCGCCACCGTCCTCCACATCCTCCTCGAACTTCAACCACCTGCGCAGACACACGTAGACACACGCTTGTATCGTCCATTCATTTCTAGGGACAAAACCCTAATCCCAACATGACAACTTTAAGCCCTACCCAGCCCTAACCTTAACCATGAGTAACCAAAGTAAATATAAGACTTTTGGCATTTTTTGTTTTTTACTGCAGTCATGGAGTCGTGGGGACAAGAGAAAAAAAATGGTCCTCGCAATATGAAAAAAAACAGGTTTTTATCACATTGTAGGGACATTTGGTCCCCACAAAGTAATATATATATACGTAACACACACACACACAACCACGCACACACAGACACGCTCACACGCAGACACGCTGAACACACACACTGTGGCCTCTTCATTAGCTACACCTGCTCGTTAATATTAACAGCCTTCTCCTTCAAACAGCAAATCATGTGGCCACACCTGAATATATACAGCATGCAGGTCCAGAGGTTCACTTACTGTTTGGTCACCCTTCACAACGGCATAGATACATGACCTAAGTGATTTTAAATGTGGTGAGGCTGCTGGTGTCGATTCCAGTCACCCTACTGTGGTGTTTGCAGACACACAAAAATCTAACACAAACATGCACATGCGTGTAGACAGACACAGAGACGCACACAGCTGACACAGAACCCCACTGACAGGCTCGCCCCAAAGAACACACACATGGAAGAGCCCCGGCCTGTCACATGACCCCCAAGTGACCCCCAAGTGACCCCACCTGGCTGTCTCCCTCCACTCGTAGGTGCTCCCTTCCCGGAAGGACAGCTCGTCCAGCTCTGTGAAGAGGTCATGTGGAATGTGCTCCTCATCGTCGTCTTCGGTGCCCAGGATGAACTGGACCCGCTGGGAGGGCGTGTCTGGGGGGGGGGGGGGGCAGCACAGACAGGGATGAGGCGACATTTCCCACCAGCTTCACTCAACGACACAAAATAAAGGGCCAACAAAACCGACACGATCACCACATGATCACGCGACTGACGCCCCCAGGGCTCACACCCGCCCCCCCCCCATCGCCGGCATTACCGTAGGTGGGCGACTCGCGGCCGTCCTCGCGGTCGGAGCCCCCCCGCTCCCGCCGCTTGCGGTGGTGCTTGTGGCCCCGGTGTCGGTGCCGGCGCTTGCTCTGCCTGCCCAGCGGGACGTGGACGCCGACATACACGGCTCGGTGACCTGGGCGGGGGGGGGGGGTGTCAGAATGGGACAACGTGAAGTGGAAACTCATCCCCCCACAGCCAATCAATACCCCAAGCTGGTTACTTAAATTTAAAATCTATGCATAGATCCATAGTTTCCAGGGTTCAATGAGCTTCTCTGTTCTCTTTAGCATCTCTGACAAGTCAGGGCAAGATTTTGGTCACTGAAGCAGGGATACGTTCAAGATGAAATAACATACAGTGATACAGTGATTCAATATGACCTCCTTTATTGTGCTTCCATACCTGACTACTTATTATACATGCGGCTTCGCTAACAATACAGAGATTTTAGAACATTAATATCTGCACATCAGGTACAGTCATCTGTAGTTATGCCAGTTACTCAGGATATGACAGCAAAGGCGCAGTTGGGTTCGGACCCTGTGTTCTGCTCGGCACGACTCCCACCGAGGGCCATATGGACATGTCCGTACCCCAGCCGAATCCGAGCGTCCATGTCAGCACACAATCACAGAGCGGGGAGGCGGAGGGAGGCCTGTGCGTGTCTCCCGGGCAACGGGGCTGGCAGGGACCCTGGCTGCGCCCACACGCACACGCACACCAACATACAGTTTGTGCTGCCAGAGCGCGAGGGCGCCAGTGCACGATCAGCACAGACAGAGCACATAATCCCTCAGTGGGCACTGGAGGGGCCACAATTCAGACGTGGACACGACGTTCCTCACTGCATCCAGGGAGCAGGGAGGCCGCGAGGCCAGGAAAGATCATGGCGGGACTTAATGAGCCCAGGCCCAGCGGGAGGCTAATCCATGCTAATACCACCAGGGACTGCGAGGTCAGGCGGGCCGCGGCAAGGCCGGCGAGCTCTGCCACTTGGCTGCGGTTGGGGCGCTGGGCTTGGACGCCCCGGGGGGGTCAGCAAGGCCCAGGACTGACAATGACACGAGGGAGCTTCATGCAGAAATCAGCAAGATGCTTTCTTTGGCTTTTTAATCACGTCCAGCAGCCAAGACGCCTCTGGTATCCCAGCAACAGTGAACGCAGAGAGAGATTCTTACTTTCAAGCTCCTCCTTCTCAAAGTTTGTGTTTAAGGTGGAGCTGGTCTTCCCCAGGTCGATGACAGCCTCCTCATCATGTCCCTAGGAAAGAAAAGGGGGGGGTGAGAGTTCAGCACTGCTGTCAATCACAGGAGGTGGGTGCGGCATAATAATCACACAGCAGGGGGGGGCGGGGGTGCATCCAGCTTATCTGAGTCTATGACTCACGTTCCGCGCCAGACATACACTCCCGAACATTAAACATCCACTTTCCTGTTCCATCCTGTCCATCAGGCAAGTAAAAAGCACGCCCCAGTCTCGTTCCTGTGAATTACTGAAACCAATCCCACAGAATCAACATCATGTCAGACAATTTTTTTTTTAAACTTTATTTCACCGGCAAACACAGAACCCATGAAATGAGAAACCCTGGAGACAGGGCACTGTGGTTTAGGAACCACAGGGTTTAATTTCCTGGGAGCAACTCTCAGGAAGTCACCTGCCCCCCCCCCCCCAGCCTCTCAGGCAGCGATGGAGGACGTGTCATGCTGCTCACTGTACTCGGTTCCACTTCCCCCCCCATCATCTCGGCTGCCCGGCAGTCGTTGTTTTTTCCTCTCAGTCTCTTTTGGGAAGTCCCGTGCATCTCACTCTGCACGAAGCCCTACGTCACGCAGCCGCGCTTCGCCATGCGCAGGCTCTCGGCCCGTTCTCAGTCTCTCATTTTCACTTTTGCTTTGTGACATCTGGAAAAAAACAGACCAGAGCCTCCCCCGGCCGCACTGCACTTAAGTGCGAGGCATCAGCCAGAAGTTAATTGGCTGTAGGGATATACAGGGAGCAGAAGTGGGATTTAATTGGTTCAATGATACCACAAAGCAGAAATACCCTGTGCAGGTGAGCCGCCCACTCCGCCCTGCACACGCCCTTTTCTTGACACCTTCTCAGCCAATAACACGGCTTCCTGGCAGGCTGGGAAACCCCATAGTGACCTTTGCTTAATTAATCCTGACAGATACCTGATCCAGTTGATCAGGCCCAATTCCTAAGGGATTTCAGTCATTCCTTGGTGAATGGGGCAATGTGTGGACCAGTGGGTTCAGACAATGCCTATGATCGGACTGTCTGGGTATGAATCCCAGGGCTGCCAGAGTGATGTCATCGTCAGAGCCCTGAGCAAGGCCCTCAACCCCCAATTACTTCAGGGATTGTCTAACACTTTTTATGGAGAAAAGTGTTTGTTAAATAAGGGCATCAAAGTCGAATGCTTGTCATGCTGAGGCGGCCTGCGGTATTGTGGGCCTTGTGGACACCGTTACCATCTTCCATCTTCCTTCCCTGCCTTCCTCTGGTGTTTCTGCCTTGGGGAGGAGGGGCTGAGGAGCAGCAGAGACCCTCACAGGTCCTGGACGCCTGATCTTAAGAGTCCCAAAAAGTGGCCAACCAGAAAGAGTCTAAATGAAAGCATAATGGCGGCCCGCTTCCCCGGCTCGGGGCGTCACTCTAACGCCCCGAGATCAACGCAGTGGACCATTCAGAACCGAGGCGGACAGGACCGAGCAGCGCCGGTTAGATAATGTTAATGCCACAGCCGGCGATGCGGAACGAGCCACTACGTGTCTGATGAGGCGCCGCAGGCAGCTCCCATCAGGCTGTACAAACACGCAGCTCACAGACAGACCCCCCCCCCCACCTGGGGGAAGCAAGCAAGCTGAAATCCCCTGTGCCCCCTGGGAATAGACTCAGTTGGGGCGGGATGCAGGTGCGCACAGAGACAAACAAAGAGACAAACACAGAGACAGATAGAGACACACACACACAGTGACAAACACACACACACACACAGTGACAGACACACACACACAGTAACAAACACACACACACACACAGTGACAGACACACACACACAGCAACAAACACACACACACACACAGTGACAGACACACACACACACAGAAATAGACAGATACACACAGCTGATCCTGACGACTTCGGTGATACTGCAAAAGCTCCCCTTGCCAAAAGCCAATCAGAAAGCAAGACATAAGTCCTACTTGGGTTGGGGGGGGGGCAGCATGACATGTACAGAAAAGCCTTATGATACACGGGGTGTACTTGCTGGATCACTCCATCTGACTAACGTAAGCTGCAGAAGCAGCCGCTCAGGGTGTCCCACACACTACGCTCTGCGCATCCTGGGACAGGCCCCGGGTCCCCAGCAGTCCAGCACAGGATAAGCAGCCTGTCTCGCACGTGTGCACGGGGTGACTCACACATCACCACAGTCAGCAACAGCCGCAGGAGCAAGGAATACAAAGCCAGGCAAAATGAAAGAGTTCCAGAAGAACAGACTGCCCCATCTCACAGAAACCGCTCCGGAGGGTCACCGGACTCCTCAGCCGCGTGGATATGAATCCCGTGTGAGCACACATGCGCACACACACGCACGCACACACTCCTGTATTCATATCTTTGTGGGGACTCTCCGTTCATTTCTATGGCCAGAACCCAAATCCCAGCCTAACCATAACAATAAGTAACCAACAAAAAAAACAAGACTTATACCATTTTTACTTGTTTGATTGGAGTCACAGATTTTTATAAAATTGAGTTTCCCCCTGTGGGGACTGAAAAACTGGTCCCTACAATGTCAAAGTAACAGGTTTTTATAACATTGTGGGGACATTTGGTTGCGGGTAGCAGTAACGCCCAGGTCAGACGCCGAAGACGGCTCATATCCCAGCGCTTATGCGCATAAGATGCCACAATGCCAGGCTTCGAAGAACATCTGAACGGGGGCTGCCGGGGATGAAGGGACCTTTCAGACGCAGGCGTTTGCTACCAAAGCGTCACCGTCCCTGCAGACTTAAGCCAGGTGCCGCCTTGAGACCAATCACAGAGAATTCATTAAGCCGCTCTCACCTAACCCCGCGCCTGTAACTTGCTCAAATACGGGGGCTGATAAGCCTCTTATTTGTGATTTGTCTCTAAGTCCAGCCGGTAATTAAAGTCCCCCCCCCCCCCCCCCGACCCTGTGCATGTAGCGAGTCTTGTGCCGAGCAGGGCTTCCTCAGGTCAGGCGAGGACACGCTGGGCCACGGGGGAGGCGAGGAACTGCCCCCCAGATAGGCTACAATCAGCCGGAATCCACCCACAAACTAGCACCCCCGCCCAGAAAAAGCTCTGGGAGGGGACAGAGATCAGACTTGACCGAGTCCTCAACCGTGACCTAAAAGCTACATCATGACCAGTCCGTCCACTGGGGGGGATGGAGACAGTCGCTAAGGAGACCCTGTGAATGTTTTCTGGCATTAAAACAGCAGCATCCTTCAGGAACCCGGCAAGGCGACTTCCTCAGACTGGATCACACCCCCCAAGTCACCCATTCATGCGGGGTGGTGCCGAGACGGGGGAGGGGGGGGAGCGGCCCAGACCACAATGCCAGGAAGCGAGCGGCTCGTTTCACTAACCCCCCGCCGCCCCATGAGGCCCTCCCACCCCGCAGTCTGCAGCTTGGCCCAGACGCCTCCTCTATGTAGTATAGCCCATGGCCGGGGGGGGCGTCGCCAGAGGCGCAAGCCGGATGCTAACCAGCCATTAAAGCGCCAGCAGGCTAACGGACAGCTTCCGGAGCCCAGCTGGCACTACTGATCGTTCACACAGACAACGGCAGGCCTGAAGGGGCGCTAGGTGCTGCCTATTATTATTAAGGTATTAGTGACAGAGGTGATAAAATATGACTGTGGGTCTCTTCAATCAGGGCCGAGAGGATGAAATGGGGGGGAGGTTACAATAGAGTACAGGGGAGTGATACTGGATGAAAAGCACAGGGGAAAGAGGTGGTGGGGGGGGGTGAAGGAAGAATGCCAGTGTTTAATATATAAGCAGTTGGATCTGAAGGGTTAGTCACGTGACCTAGTACTACCAATGAGAGGATCCATGTTACATTCTATTAAATGAAAACATGTAAACATACTACAGAGAATGGAATGAAAACAGAGAGAGAGAAAGAAAGGGGGGGGGGGCAGCCTGAACGCAGAACATGAGCCCCCCCCCCTGTGAGCCTGAGCAAACAGAGCCATGCAGCCCTGATATCACACCGTGCGCGTTACACCAACCTCTATCATCACATGCAGAGGTTTTTTGCTTGATTTTTTGTTAGTTTTTATCATGTTTTCTCACCATTTATCCCAGATTTGATAAAATAGTTTAGTTTATTACAGAAATAAAGGGGTAAAATAATAAAACTCGATAACTACCCCAGAAAACAACCCCCAAAATCGACAGTCTAGACATGGAATTTGTAAACTCTGTAGTCAAACTCTTTCTACATATTAGAGAAAATTGGCATATGTTACAGTAATGAGCTTGTGAAAACGTCCAAAAAAGGGTAGGGTGGTATAGCAAGAATTTACCGACAGCACCAGATAGCACCAAACAGTAGTTTGCACTAGTGTTCTGTTGTTCTCCATGAATTATTACCAGCACAGAGATATGAAATGGCACGAGCGGATCCAGTTGAGCACATTTAAATAACTGAATCCTATTATAAAACAGGAAGCTGTGATGATTTTTTTAATTTTGCAGGGTAAAAATAAGTTAGTTGGGAACTTATTATCAACGTAAATGACTTTTTAAAATCACGATATGGATTGTAGGCTACATCACCTAGCCACCTAGCCGTATGTGCAAACAAGCACCCCAGCTATAGAATAGTTATGTTTTTGATTAGATATGCACAGATATTGTTTAACCATAGACCAATACAGAGTCAATATTTACCACCGACGGGTGTAATGAAATTTTGCGATGCAATTATGTTTCAATACGCATTGCAGTGTTTAAGTTGTGTTGCACTAGGTCGTTTACAGATGTTCTTTAACCTTTAAAAAACATCTGTGAAAGTATTTTACTGATGTGGACTCTTGCCGCAGTGGTTGGGGTGAAGTGTAAAACATCACTGTCGATTTAAAAATACATTAATAATCGGAAAAAAAATGTTGGTTGTACTATTATGCTAAATGCAAACAATCTCTTAATAATTCATAAAAACACACTATTGAAACATTTGTAAACGTATGTGAATGCCATATAACGCTATGGAGCTAAATATACATTAATAATCTAATAAAACATGTTGGTTGTACTATAAAGTTAAACTGCAGCGCTAAGGGTGAACTGGAAATTTTCCAGGGTCACTTGAAATGTACGGGGTATTGGACTGGATTACATCATCATGATTGCATCACCAGCCTAACAGGGAAAGGGGAAGGAATTCGGACGGGGGGTGTGATTTGGCATGACAGCTGCACTGTCAGTTTGTGGTGTGCCGGTGAGCAGATAGCTCATGGGAGTTTTACTTACACAAAAATGTTCTGAGGGCAGAATGAAAAATGACTGGTTCAAAGACATAACCAATCAGATTGTAAAGGAGGTGGGTCCAAGCAACTAGGAGGCGGGACCAAGACATCTGATTGAAATTACTAATTTCGCGAAGTGTATTGAATTGTGAGCTGAGATGGTGACCCAAACTGCTTTGCACATCTGCATACTAAACAGAAAAATGGGCAACACGTTACTTGACGGGGCACAAATTATGCTATTACTTTTGTGTTAATTAGCCATAAACCAAGTCTGTTTACATAATGATCTCATTAGTGAATTGTGACATCTTTTATCTCAAGCAATTGCTATATTTGTTACTCTATCTGTTAATTCTATAAACCTTTGTGAACTTCTGAAGGTACAAGTTATGAATAACACAAGTGAAGTGATCTCATGTTTGTTCATTAATGAATCATAACATCTTTTATGTCAAGTAGCCAGTATATCTGTTCTTAATTTATTCTTCAGTAGCAACTGAGTTACTACTAAGTATTTATGCCTCCTGAGGAGGATCTACGAAGAAATACATCAACAACAAATTTGATTGCTCAACTGTAAGTGACATCATGAAAACTATGAAAATCTTCTGAAAAACAAGTCTGTTCCAATAAAGCAGGCCGCAGTGCTGCCGGAAAATGCGAGTCTGTCAGCGTTTGATAGCAAAAGAAAATTCAGTGCAGATGGTGCAAAATCAAAAGATATTACTCAGAAAATTATGAGGTTAATCAGACTTGATGATCAGCCGTTCTCTGTGTAGGACACTGGCTTTCAGCAATTCATAATACAACTAACAGCATGTATAAAATGTATAGCTGGGAGAAGATACAGGAAGCGGAGTTCATTTGTATTCCATGGTTGGTAGCAGTTACTGTATAAGCGCTACAGTAATCTCATGGGAGATGGTTTTTTCTGTTACTAGTTTAAGTAACAAATAGTCATTTGAAATGTGTGAAAGCAGTTAATGTTATAAATATGGAAATATAATATATATAATATCATCATATATTCAGTTATAAAATCCTATAACATACTCTGGGACTAATATTAATATAAAGTACTCGGACTGTTAGTGTTATTTTTGGAAAGTAATTTCTTTTTTCCATTTATTTGGGTGGAGTGTCCCTTTATTTAAGCAGAACCTCCCAAACATTCAGTATCAGTGACAGTTTCCTAAATAATTGGCTTTCGGTATCAGCCAGAAATTTCCTTATCGGAGCCTCACTAGTTCTCACATTAGTCTGGCCGAAAATGTCTTAATTCACAATTAATCTTGTGGGAGAATGGGCGAGCCCATGTCAGTCAGCTTATCTCATGAATGTTTGGTCAAACTGGCCCAGAAACCACATACTGTTCATTTGCACCAGGAGTAAACACAGTCTGGGGCAAACTATTTCACGCAAGCCAGTAGGCGTGCTGTCGTAGAGATACTGATGTCAGGTTGGGTGAACCAGGGACTATTTTATATAGTGAATTCTTTACCTGGTACCGTTACAGAATTCACAACATACTTTGTTAGCCGCTTCTTCCCAAACGTCATGCAGCCACTCAGGTATTCTTATGGATCGAGACACACTTCTAAGCCCCATTGGTCATGATCTTGGTCAGCTGACCTCATCCTCTACCAGCACAACCGAGGGCTAGAACGCTTTTTTCGGTGTTTGCAGAAACACTCCTGCCTGAGCAAACGCTAACCTGTAATTTCACAAACAGGGTGGCCGGGCTCTGCCCCCATTCTGGCTGCTTCCGATGGGGGCGTGACCCTGCAACCGGCGCCGTCGCCGAGACTGGGCCTTCCTCGCCGGCCTGCGATGACGGGGCCTGAACCGGTGCCGTAACGACGGCCCTCAGCGGACACGGGGGTGGGATGCGGCGTTTGGCAGGTTTGAAATTAAGCCCCCCCCCACCCCCACCCCACACACCCCGGTTTGGCTGGCTGAGCCCACATGTATTCGAGCTACCAGGTCAGTCACATGACCTGCTGAGGCTGGGATAACAGTCCCTTCACGTTCATGGACTGGGGGAGGGGGGGTTGCAACTATGTATTTATAGGTGGGGGTGGCTCCCTAACGACAGGCGGCGAGGACACCAACATAGAATAACAACAGTAACAACAACAGTAATGATTATGACAATTTCCAAAGAGCAGGAGCTCAAATTTACTGCCACCTGTTAATTGGTCAGGGCTGGGCGCCAATAAACAGGAGCCCCACCTACTGTAACAGACACACACACACACACACACACACACACACACACACGTTTGTATTCATATCTTTGTGGGGACCGTCCATTAATTTCTATGGGAATAACCATAATCCCAACATGACAACCTTAACCCCTACCCAGCCCTAACCTTAACCATAAGTAACCTAACAAAATACAAGACTTTTGGCATTTTTAGTTTTCTGACTGCAGTCACAGATTTTTATGGAAAAAATGGTTCGCATGAGGTCAAAATAATGGGTTTTTATTACATTGCAGGGACATTTGATCATAATATGTCAGAAGAAAACTAAGGACTTAAGTTGTTTTTTTACCACTTTTCTATTTATTTCATAAACTGTAGATTTTTTATTCTTGTTCAGCACTGGAAAGTTGAGTGAACAACTGGAAATGAGTCAAATAAAACAAGTTGCCTTTATAACATGGAAAGAGTAAGTAACAGGGCACGTCTGACATCCTACTATCTGGTTGTGTGTTTCTAGGCCGTCCTTTAACTTTAACTGCACTAATTAACCGTTTCATCCCATAAAACAGAGCAGTATTTAATGCCCCTTGTAGAATGAATGCCATGAATTTTCTCTGCTGTTATAACTGCTACAGGAATTTACTTTCATGAATCAAAGATATGACTTTTTCTTGCTAATAAAGGTACACAAATGGTAAACGTGCTGTAAATTAGCAAAGAATAAGAAGTATATATTTAGTAAATGCCAAGCGAGTAACATGCAAATGCAGAAAATCTGTGTGTTCAAAACTTGACTGGTAGTGTACACACACACACACACACACACACACACACACACACACACACACACACACACACACACTAAAACCCTAAGACTCTAAAACAAACGTTGCCAAGCTCTTGAGAACTCCCTCCCTGCTACTCCTGGATAGAGAGCTGTGGACAGCATCCTAGAAGGTCACAGAACCCAATTGAGGTACAGGCTGGTGGGGCCGGGGGCACCATACACAGACCCTGTCAGTTAAGTCCCCCCCCCCTTCAGACTTCAAACTGCCACCCCAATCCAGCTTGAAAATATCACACGACAGCATACAGCGTCATTGGAATGTTGGGCTCGTTTGGGAATAGATCCCAGTGCGAGTGCAGCAGCACGTGCTCAACTAAGAGACCCGCACACACACACACACACACACACACAGACCCACACGCACACACACAGACCCACACACACACACACACAGACCCACACACAGACCAACACACAGACCAACACACAGACCAACATGCACACACACACACACAGACAGACCCACATGCACACACACACACACACACACGCATATGCTAAGAGAAACACGCATACACTCTTGGCTGCGCTGCCTGCATCCTGCCGCCCGGACACCAGCATGGGTATTGGGTAACGCCCCACTGCCCGCAGACAGGCTGCCAGGCTTCGCCCCGCTGGCAGCTGTGTCTCTCCGGGTCAGTCTGCGTCAAGTGTGCATTTAACGAGCCGCCCTTACGCACAAGACGACCTGCGGGAAGCACCACCGTGTGTGACGTCTGTGAACGTGCTCTGAGCGTGTGCAAGACACAACCGAGACAGGTGACTGTCCGTGACATCAAAAGCAGACTTATAATACAAACACACACATACAGGTTTGTAATTATATCCTTGTGGGGACTCTCCATTCATTTCTATGGGGAAAACTCCAATCCCAACAGGACACCCTTAACCCCTGCCCAGCCATAACCTTAATCATAAGTAACCAAACTTTTGGCATTTTTAGTTTTTTAAATTGCATTCACAGATCTTTGTGGGAACCTGAAAAATAATCCCCACATCATCAAAACAACAGGTGTTTTTATTACATTGTGGGTACGATTTGGTCCCCACAATGTAATAAAACAATACACACACACACATGCACAAAACACACACAAAACCAAGCAAACACATACACACACACACACACACAGAAATGCTCAAACCACAGACACACAGACACACACACACACACGTACCCTGGCAGGACGGGGGCCCCTGGCAGGACGGGGGCCCCTGGCCGTCAGGCTTAGCGCTCCGTCCCAGAAGTCCGACATGGTGGCAGAACAGCCCAAATGCTGGGGGTCTCCACACCGACAAAAGGTCAGGCTATATCCGTACTAGACGGTCAGCGTTGGCTGGGAAGGCACATTAAATAAAAGGGGGCCAACTGGCCCCAAACAAAAGGAGGAAATTTTCCTACAGCCCCCGGTGTTGCGTCTGTTTGCTGGTCCCAGACAGATGGTTACTGTTAAAGGCAGAAGTTTCCGTGGTGATGCTGGGGGAAAGCGAGGTGGGCGGGGGCTGCTGTGGGCGGAGCCAGTGAGCTGACTGGCCAATGGCCACGAGAGCCTATAGCCAGAGAGGAGGGCTCTGCAACTTAACTTGGAAGGCTGACAGTGGAGCAGGCTGGGGGCTAAAAATGAGCTTTTATTTATAGAAAAGGACACAGGGGCCGCTGGCTGGGGGCCCCACACACACGGCTGCTCTTTTCTCTTACGGAATTTGGCCCTCAGTTCCATCGCGGCGGTAACGGGACGGTCTCCCGCGAGCCGGGAAGCACACTCGACCAGGCGGGCTCAGGTTACCGCCGGCATAATCACGCAGAACGCAAAGCGCTACACCCTTAAAAAGCCAGTCGGCACTGCGAAACGGCGCACGTACAGCATCTCCCTAGAGGAGCAGATCTTCCCACCCTTCTAATCTCATGCGACAGAGAAGTTGGCGGGTCCTTCTGGAAGATGACAGCGAGGGTATAAATGTCAGCCAACATCATGCTGTGAGTGGGACTGTGGAGGTCCATCACATGGGACCAGACTGACTCAGGGCCGCCAGAGACCCAAGAATCAAAGCGACAAACCTCTATTAACACGGCTAGTATCAAACCGGATCCCAGCACAAGCAGTTACGTGATATTTGTTTTGAACCCATACTCATCGTAAAGATGAGAATCAGACATCTGTGGTTGGAGGACCTGGGTGACCCAACCACAACCCGGCAGGTCGTAGGCGCACGGGACCTGAACTCTCTGGCGTTTCGCCTGTTTGCGGGAAGCGGTTGGTACCGCGAAAGGACGGTGAGCGCAGAGCGAAGGCAGACGACCCGAAATGCAAGCTCCACACCTGCCCACCTGGCCTGACGCAGGAAACGGTGCCTGACCAGCCGAAAAATCAAAGTGTTGAGCTGCTCCCGTGTCGATCTGTGCCGGCAGCATGATGGCTGTCTATGTGTCGACGTGTGTACATGTGTTTATGTACCTGTGCGTCTCAGGCCTGGACCTCGTCTCATAAAGCCCGTTAAGGCCGCTCATTATCTGATGTCACTAACTTCAGTGTTGCTGATTGTCTGACACCAGTGATCCACAGTGTCATTCAGATCACTGTAATAAACAATGAGCGCAGTGCAGTGATCCACCCTGACCACTGTAGAGTGCAGTGACCGATAGCAGGAGCTGGCCGCAGTGCCCCAGTCCTGTCCCCTCCAAAGGGACATCACGGCCAGCTACAGCCAATCACGGTGGCCGAGTCGTTAACGACGGCACCGCTAAGCTAATAGGTGACGGACGGCAGCAGGGGACAGGAAGAGGGGGACGGTGACCCTGCAGGCCACTCTTATAGCCCCTGACAGTAGCAGAGGCAGAAAGATTCACAAAGTAAGTTGGGAACACTGAGCTTCAAGGCCAGGCATGTCTGAGAACCTGATATGAGAATGCATGCGCGAGCGAGCACACATACACATACACACATACATATATATATATATATATATATATATACACACACACACACACACACACACACACCTGACAATGCGGACGCGAGGAAATATCGCCTGACGTTTCCATTATTCCTCTAAGATGCAATTTTCCCACGATTCTCCACAATCAGCAAGCACACATCCTCATGCTGGCTTAGGAAGCACTAAATAAAAACACGCCCATTCAGGAGACAGTCCCATGTGAAACCCTGGACAACGGAGAGCGACGGTGGGCCTGGACAGCGGCCATACACAGCTTTGATCCTCCATCCAGGGTATTTGATCTTCGCATCTGACTGAGGTCTTTCCTGCTCCAGCGATAGAGGTGTCAGAATGTCAGAGGATTCCAAGCCAGCACCTTCAAGGGTCCCTTGTGTCATCGGACAGCTGTCCCCCTACGTCTCGAGACGGACACAGTTTATGCTCTCATAGATCTGTGAAAGTTACAGGACAGACTGCAAGGGGCCAACCCATCTGGGGGTGAAGTACACACAGATCTCACCCAACCCTCAAATATTCTAAACCTGTCCTCTGGTTCTCTACTGACGATTAGATCAGTCAGACATTCGATTCTGTACCGCACTCTGCCACAGAGGGGACTGAATGCTCTCAGATCTGTGAGCAGAAGCCACAAGCTGAGCTATAAATCTGGCTTGGCTATTCAAGTACATTCAAGTCGTTATTGGCTCCCAGTAACGGTCACATTGTTTGTTTTATTGATGCTTAGCCCCCCTGGCGTGATGCCAGGTAGCCCACAGTGAGAGATGCACAGCAGCCTTCAGCTTCCACGTCCTAAAGGCCACCCCGTTCCGTAGAATTCAGACCGTCATTTTCAAAAGCTGGGCTGGGCCTTGATGCAACACAATTGTTTGTAGGCTGCACTTTCTTTGCAATTCTGTTCACCTTTGTAAACACTAACGTCAAAGGGCACACGTGACCTTGAGAGGCATGTTGACTTTATGTAGCCATCAAGTTGCAGTGTCAAGGGAAATTTCAACCACAGCGGTTTGGCTCAACAGTACAATGTTCAGGTTACAAGTCATTACCACAACAACGACAACGACATCATCAGGCGTTTTTTCAGTACTCAGAACAACCTTCTTTGAAGCAATACTTGGCCGAGGTCCCCAAAGAACCAGAGTTCAGTGGTCAGTAGGTGAACATGTAAGCTTTCGCCTTTGAGCTCCAAGCTCAACTTGAAGCTTTGTGAAGATACGACTTTGGCCTGGTGGCTTTCCGGAACAATCCAGACTTAATTCGGTTACAACGGCCAAACACTAGAGATGGCAATTCCCCACAACATCATTTCCTCTTCTGACATCACAATGGGCGATTAGGTTTTCGAAATGGTTAGAATTTCAAATCCAGGTCACCTCCCCCCCCCACCCGACGTGACTGCTGGGTTTGCATACATGGAAGTTTGCTTACTATAACCTGCCCCCCCCCCCCGGCTGAAACGGTACACCAGCTTTGCGACAAGCCACACTGTTCACAGACTCATGAAGACCTCACAGGCTACTAGGAATTCGCAAAGAGACAGAAGCAGGGGTTCGCTGTGCCAGATAAGAGACGAGAGGCTCTGTTGCAAGACAAAAGCCTGTTGCTGTAAACGGTCCTGCTCCACGGCCGCGTGTGGTTTGCTGGGGCTGAAAGCCAAAGGAAGACTTGACTGACAGGTTCCTGCAGGAGGAAACACGCATGGCGTCAAACGCGACGCAGGAAAAGGCGAATTGATACGAACCGTCACGTGTACATGGAGGGAAACATACAAAGACTGCTGCGCAAGAAGAGGGCGTCCAGAAGAGGAGAAACTCAACACGTATCTACCTCCTAGCATTGTGGAGACACAAGGAGCCTCTGCAGAAACATAAAGCAAATCCTACCCGTTACCCGACAGAAACACAGCACCAAGCCCACTAATCCAAAGGAGTCGCATCACATAAAACGTGAGCATGCGGATCTTAAAGGTGTCGAGCTCCAGACCTCTGTTGGGATGGTACCATTATTTCAGATGTTCAGGAAGAGATAAGCTGCTCTCTGAGTGCATGAGTGCAGCGTGAGATATCTCCCTGGGGTTCCTCTAAACCACAGTGGCAAGGTTTTAAGAAGCAAAGCAGAAGTGCACAAAGACGTCGAAAACACAGATACACCTCGTCTCCAGGCCAGCAGGTCGGGTGGCATGGAATACCACCACAACAAAAAGCACAGTGTTAGTTACCCCCACACACCACGACCAGCCACTTCCACCAACGGAAACTGCTGGTCTGGGTGGGCAGACCATCGCGAGGCTTTCTGATGCCAGTCTTACGGAGCTCCGTGACCGTGGGTAGCGGTCTCCACCTACTGTGATGGGAACTGCGAGAACCTGGATCAAAGACCTGAAGATGAACATCCAGGATGTTATCAGAAATCTCCAGGATTTGTGTGTGGGGGTAGTGAGGTCCTTCTAGCTGCGCCACCAACCCATTGAGCTCGATCCAGCAGGGGGGGTTTGGCCCGGTCATTGGCTGTGTGCTTATGAGTGACAGAGAAGCAGAATGTGTGGGGGCGTGGCCACCGTCAGCACCACCAACCAGAAACCCACCGCCTTTGCACCGAGCAGTCAGACAGCAGACAAAGCCAGTTTCCTGTGTTCTGATAATCCAGCTACTGTTAAAGTGCCTGGGGGAGAGGGGGGGGGGCTGCTCTCAGACTCTCCACAGTGGGGATAAAGTACCGCTCCTCAGAATGACCAACCTGCGGAGGTTTGGTGAAGATTTCTGTACCATCCTCTGCCACAGTCGTCGTCAGCGTCATCTGGGGGCGACGGGATGGAGAGCTGCCCTACAGCTGCCCTACAGCTGCCCTACTGCTGCCCTACTGCTGCCCTACAGCTGCCCTACAGCTGCCCTACTGCTGCCCTACAGCTGCCCTACTGCTGCCCTACAGCTGCCCTACAGCTGCCCTACTGCTGCCCTACAGCTGCCCTACTGCTGCCCTACAG